CACCAGAGACCTCTTGCTCTCCACACACACATGGAGGAAAGGCCATGGGAGCACACAGGGAAAGGTTAGTCATCTGCAAGTCAAGGAGAGATGCTTCACCAGAAACCAACCCTGGCAGGACCTTGTTCTGGGACTTCTAGACTCCAGAACTGTGAGAAAATAAATTTCTGTTACTTAAGCCACGTAGACTGTGGTATTCTGTTATGGCAGCCCAAGCAGTCTAACATAGGGTCCCACTCCTCTGACAGATTTTCTTTCTTTTGAGCCAGTCAGTCTCTCTGGAGAATATTCTCTCAAACTGCTGTACGGAGTGGAGATATAAGCCAGCCACTGGGGTGGTTAGAGCTGAGGGCAGGGGGAATGCACCGGAGTGAACCTGTTTAGTGTATAGACTTGAATTAATGCCCTAGTGTTCAGTACAATGTCCCTGTACTTAGCTGTGCTGGGTGTCATCCAGTCCAAAGACCCTCAGGCGCAGCCTCTTGAGAGGATGAACCTCCAGTCTTCTCCCAAGGTGGGAGATGGGGTGATCTAATTTCTAGCTATACAAACTTTTGAAAAATATTCTTGTTTTTAGCATCACCTTCACCTGCTTTCAGAGTAACATGGTGCTTCAAATTTCTAAGTCTCTTAGAGTTCTGCATACGAGTAAGATCTATTATGGGTCGCTGCACTGCTGGCTTAGGTTTCAGCATTCTCGACTGAGAAGTCAGTTACTTCTCATCCATTTGCTTTCCACCTTCAAAAATTTTAGTGCTGTCATCCCCACTCCTAGTCTACCTTTCCTTTTTTCCTCTTTACTGTCATGAGGTATTCAACATGCCATGTCTAACTGGAAATTGGAGCTTAGGTTTTAATGCGCCCATGAGAACATAGGACAAGACCTTGGGTCCAAGAAACATGAATTGAAACTGAGATCTCCACATAGAGCCAGGGCTATCAAAGGAGTGTAACATCTGTGAAAGGATAGACTAGAAAAAAACTCATTGACTGGCAGAGGGAAATGACAAGGAAGCTTTTAACCCTGACTCTGAGTAGGAAAAAGACCTCTCTCTTAAGAATGTATAAACAGGGACAATGGCACACAGCAGAATTAATACTATTAGGGAACTCCAAAGCCAAGAAACTGACATAAAAATTGGTCCTGATACTCCTAGAACTCCTGGCCTTGCAGAAGCAAATGGAAAACTACTTTGAAGGTACTTGCTCTTAACACAGGCCTCTCAAGATTCTCGCAGCTAATGCTAAGTGAAGATGATCTTGAAATTCATAATTACAAAGCACAAAGGAAGCAATCGTTTAAATGAGGATTATCACACATGCAAAAAGTAAGATTAGATTCCCAAGATCTTTATAAGTACAATAACCTGTTGAACACTACCAAATAAGTGTATTTAAAAGTATTAAAGATATAAACAAAGATTTGGAACCATAAATAAATAGCAAGACATTATGAAAGAACAGAAATCTTTGAAAGTGAATTAAATATAATTTCTAGAAATAAATGAAGTTATTGAAAATAAAAAGTCAGTAGATAGTTTAATATCAGATTAGACACAGCTGAAGAGAGAATTTGCACACTAGAAGATATATTCAGAATGTGGTATAGACAATTAAAAGTATGGAAAAATGAAAAAGAGATTAAAAGTCATGGAGACTATAAAAGGAAGTCAAACAGAAGTTCCAGAAGGAGGGGCTGGCCCTATGGCCGAGTGGTTAAGTTCATATGCTGTGCTTTGGTGGCCCAGGTTTCTCTGGTTCGGATCCCTGGCACGGACATGGCACCACTCTTCAGGCCATACTGAGGCAGCATCCCACATAGCACAGCCACAAGGACCTACAACTAGAATATACAACTATGTACTGCGGGGGCGTTGGGGGGAAGAAGGAAAAAAAATGAAGAAGTTTGGCAACACTTGTTAGCTCTGGTGCCAATCTTAAAAAAAAAAAAAAAAAGAAGTCCCAGAAGGAGGAAATAGACAGAATGCAAGAAAGGTAATATTTGAAGAAATAATGGCTTTGTAGAGTTACTTGACCACAGACCCTAGTCCACAAAGCAAATGTCACCAAATACCAAAGAGTCTGTATCATACAGACCATGTTCTCTGCCCACAATAGGATATGATGAGAAATCAATAACAAAAGATAACAACACCATACAAATTTGGAAATTTTACAACATACTACATGAATCAAAGAAGAAATCATAATAAAATTAAAAAATATTTAGAAATGAATGATAATGAAAACGCTATATACCAAAATTTGTGGAATGTGGTGAAAGCAGTGTATAATGGAAATGTATTGCCTTGATAAATCTGATTCTTTTTTTTTTAAAGACTGTCACCTGAGCTAACAATTGTTGCCAATCTTTTTTTTTTTTTCTGCTTTATCTCCCCAAACCCCCCAGTACATAGTTGTATATCTTAGTTGCAGGTCCTTCTAGTTGTGGGATGTGGGACGCCACCTCAACGTGGCCTGACAAGCGGTGCCATGTCCGCGCCCAGGATCCGAACCCTGGGCCGCCACACCTGAGCACGCGAACTTAACCACTCGGCCACGGAGCCAGCCCCTAAATCTGTGATTCTTAAACGTAGTCCCCAGGCCAGTAGAACGACCCAGGAACTTGTTAGAAATGTAATTTTCAGTCTCCATCCAAAACCTATTGAATCAGAAATTCTGAGGGTAGGATCCAGAAACCTGTATTTTATGAAGACCTCCAGGTGATTCTGATGCATGCTCCAGTTTGAGAACCACTGCCTTAGATGTATATATCGGAAAAAAAGAGAAAGATTAATAGCAAACATCCAACTAAAGAATTTAGAAAAAGAACATTCAAATCAACCCAAAAGTAATAGAAGGAAGAAAGTAATAATGTTAAGAGCAGAAATTTTCTTTACAGTCTATTTTAATGGCTTGAATTCTATGTTAGGACCTTTAAAGAGGCATTATCTTTGCTTCCAGGTGATAACAATCCCGGTTTTCCTCCAGGTTGACTCTGACTAGGGAGTACATCACTGGAAGCAAGTGGAGCCAAGAAGAAAGTAACGCATAGAGGAACATTTCAAGATATCTCGTTCAGATATCTATGCATATATTTTTTTCTGGATAGAATCATAAAGCATTAAAAATGATTTTCTTTGGGGAAAGGGACTGGAGTAAGAGGGATTGTTTTCACTTTTCCTTTTAAAAATATTCCTATTGAGCTTGAATTTCTAATCTTATACATATATTATTTTTATTTTTAAAAGTGAAAAGGCTTGGGGCGGGCCTGGTGGCATAGTGGTTAAGTTCGTGTGCTCTGCTTCAGCAGACCAGGGTTCACAGGTTTGGATACTGGGCACGGACCTACACACCGCTCATCAATCCACGCTGTGGCAACCTCCCACATATGAAAATAGAGGAAGACTGGCAGCGATGTTAGCTCGGTAACAATCTTCCTCAAGCAAAAAGAGAAAGATTGGAAATAGATGTTAGGGCCAATCTTCCTCACACACACACACACACACACGAAAGTGAAAAAGCTTATTTGGTCTGTGAGGTTATGGGTAATTTGTATTTCCTTAAAAAAAAATGCTTTGTTAATATTATAGTGGAGATCTTCCTCAACTTAGAATGGCTTACATCCTGATAAACCCATTGTAAACTGAAAATATCGTAAGTTGAAAAAGCATTTAATACCTCTAACCTATCCAACATCATAGATTAGCCTGGTCTACCTTAAACATGCTCAGAATACTAACATTAGCAACAGTTGGGCCAAATCATCTAATACAGGGTCTATTTTATAATAAAGTGGTGAATATCTCATGTAATAGATTGAATACTGTACACTGTACTGAAAGTGAAAAACAGAATAGTTGTATAGGTGCAGAACGATTCTAAGTGTATCGGTTGTTTGCCCTTGTGATCACGGCTGACTGGGGGGAGCTACAGTTCACTGCCACGGCCTAGCATCAGGGGGGAGTATTGACAAGCATGTGGCTAGCCTTGGAAAAGATCAAAATTCAAAAAAATTCAAAGTATGGTTTCAGTTTGCACTGAATGCATATCCCTTTCGCACCATCAGCAAAGTTGTAAAATCATAAATCGAACCATTGTAATTCGGCGACTGTCTGTATTGTTAACAACAGTAACAACAACAAAAACATGTCCCAAACCTGCATTGGATTGGAACTTTTTTTTTTTTTTTGCCTCACGTAATTCACAATCTCCTTTTGGGAATAAATTAGCATGCCTGATAAAATGTGTAAGCAATTTTCTGATAAACTCTAAAGGAGTTGAAGACTTTTTCTAAGAAACTCACTCACTCAACTGTCAGTCAAGAGCCTAATTACCTCTAACCAAACATAATTCTCTTTTGTATCTAATCTAACAATGATTATCTTTCTATAAAATGTCCCTATCATAGTAAATCTTTGGGTTGGCTTGGTAGGCTCTTTTTCCTTTGCAGCAAGATTTGTAATAAGTTTTGGTAAGTGGTCATAACTAAATCTCTTAGAAATTTTTCTTTAACAGCATTTAAACATATTTTAAAACCTTTAAAACCTTAATAATGTTCACCTTGGCCACTAATCTAGAGGATGATGGATGACAGGGCCATAGAACTATAGGAATAGAATGTAATTCATTCATTGGTTCCATAAGTATTCGAGCGCCTACCGTATTCCAAGCTTTGAAAAGTACTTGACCGTCTACCACATGCGCAGCACTGTTCTAGAATCTGAGGATACAAAAACCAACAAATGTGGTTGGGACAATAAAACTACAGTTCCCACAATATCCCGCTCCTCTGTCTCTTCCCAGGTGGGCGCTTCCTTCCACTTGTCTCTTCCCAACATTCTGGCCTGAAGAAAAGCTCCGCCCGCTTATTTCTCAGCGCGTTCTCTCATCAGGAGTTGGACTACAACTCCCACAATGCCCTCGTGGGGCTCCCGATAAGATCTCCACCTGCTTCCCCGGTTCGCCGAGGACGACTACATTTCCCAGAACACCCTGCTTCCTCTCCTGGATGTTATTGCCCCTTTCCCGGTGCGGGACGCGGTAGTAGCGAGCGAGAGGGCCGGGCCCCGGGCCCTCTGTGTCCTTTCCCGGGGCAGGGACGAGCCAGTGACTTGACTCTTGGACGCTGAGCCAGGAGGGAGCGCAGGAGGCCGCCGTCCCTCCTGGCGGGCTCCCCTCACACTACTCTCCGTCTTCTCCACCTGCAGCCGCCTGGACGACTCCGGACGGACTGCCTAGGGCAGGGGTGGCGGTCTCAGCCGCCCGGGCAGGGGCGAGGCCGCGGCCCTCGGGGCGGCTGTAGCGGCGTCAGCGCTGGGGAGGAGGAGGAGAGAAGATGGCGTCGGAGCTGGAGCTCGAGATGCAGGCCATCGACCGGAGTTTGCTGGAATGTTCGGCCGAGGAGATCGCGGGGGTCAGTGTCGGGACCCGGGCGGGGACGTCCTGCCTTCCCTGGCCGAGCCCCGGGGGAGGAGCCGACTCCTGGAAATCCGGAGCGGCCGGGCCCTGACTTGGAGCAGCGACCGCGCCGGGCTCGCCGGCCTCGCTTTGTGGGTAATGGCCCGGGGAGGCCACCGAGCCTGCCGGTCTCCTGCCCTCTTTATGCTCAAATAGCCCTCCGAGCTGCTCTGTGCACCAGCCTCCTGCATTCCCTTTCCGCCGGGGAGAACCCGCAGCTCTTCCATTATCCCTTCTTTCCCCTAACAGTCTCATTAACTCCCCGACACAAGGGCCTTTGCCCTTTATGCCAGCTCTTGGGAGAGGGGAGGGAAAGACGCTTCCTGGTCTTTTAAATCCTCCTGACTCCTTTTAATGAGATAAGTGGAGCATCGCCTCCTCCACTGAGACATGCTACCTTAACGGACTCCCGACTTTGTTTCTGGGATTGCCGCTGGCACCAAAGGACGCAGACGATACTGTTTTCCCCCTTCCCCTCTTCAGTGCGTTTTTGCACCGATTTGGTCCGTCCACGGCGTGATGAATATGCGCAAAGTAGTGTCTCGACATGTTTACTGAGTGTGAGAAAGTAGTCGTGGAGGCTGGGAGATTAAAACAAAATTTCTGGGAGCTGGGGGTAGTTAGGTGGAGAGCAAACGTTATATAACTTTGGGAGAGCAGCTTTCAACAAATAGAAGCTAATGATGTGAGGTTTGGTCACAGCGTAGTGGGAGCACTTATGCCCCAGATTTACACCTTTCAAACCCAACATTGTACTGAAACTGTAATATGAATAGTATGCTCGTATAGGTAGCAGAGTTGTAAAATGATTAGTGTAGTAAACTCAATGGCATCTTTCCTCAAGAAGGGCAGGGAACGCCCATTAGAACAGATTGTCCAGAATGATTGTGAATGGACCGAAACAGCTTGGGCCCTATCTCTGAGGCCTCCAGTTTAAAAAGTTACAGGAAGCGAGTGACCTTTGAACACAAGTCAACAAACAGTCTGAATGTTCTGAACAAAATTTTAGCGGGGCACTGCAGGACGCTTGGTCTGTGAGGAGTTATTCTGGGTGAATTGATGAGGACACCCAAGTCAGGGTGAAAAGTCTAAAGAAACACATTGTTGAATGCTGAGTCTTTGCTTATTTTATTTTTAACCAGCTTGTTTAGTTTCAGGCTGTTTTAATTTACTTTCTGCTTGATATTGCCACAGCCCAAGGATTTTCAGCGCCCGTCTGCCTTTCATTTATCAAAGAGATGTAAAAAAGAAAATGAAAGCAGTTACACGGAAATGGTAAAATGGTGGTAATGACAGCTATGCCATATCCGTATTGATATCTGATCTGTTATTTACCTCAAAGTAATTGGGGTTTCTTTCCCCCCACTCCCACCGAATGTTGTGTCTGTTGGCCCAGTGATACAGTCTATCTACTGTTTTCCCAGTTCTAAAAGTGCAAGCTATCAAGTGATTAGAATGTCTCCAACTTGTTGAGGATCCTGAGGAAACCAGTTATAAAAGGGTGCTAGAGACCAGCACTCCTAGTTCTTGTGCAGTGAAATTCTCAAGCAGACCCATTAGGGGAAATTAAGGGAAATGCAAAAAGAATGTATTAATTTGGATTTCATTTGAATTTGTGAAGATAACAATCTGAGCTACATTTGAGTTTTGCTCTGTTTACTTTTAAATGGCTTTCTGAACAATAAGATGAAAAAAAAATTTAGTCTGAAGGCCCACAAAATTCCTTAAAGAGGATGCCAGCTAATATTCAAATATAAGATTCTCCTGGCTGTTTAACCTGGCCTGGCTTTGTGAGGGGTTTATTGTCTGTTTTAGTTAAAACAGGCTAACACTTAAAACTATTCTTTCAACTTAGGCTCCAGCACAACCCTTTACCACAGATTAAACTGAATTCATAAACTTTTCTCAAGTTAAAAGTAAATTTTAGGGGCCAGCCTGATGGCGCAGCTGTTAAGTTCACACGTTCTGCTTGGGTGGCCCAGGGTTTGCCAGTTTGGATCCTGGGTGCGGACCTACACACCAATTGGCAAGCGATGCTGTGGTAGGCGTCCCACATATAAAGTGGAGGAAGGTGGGCACGGATGTTAGCTCAGGGCCAGTCTTCTCAGCAAAAAAGAGGAAGATTGGCCGCAGATGTTAGCTCAGGGCAAATCTTCCTCACAAAATAAAATAAAATAAAAAGTAAATTTTAGAGTAAACAAGTAAAGGAAGTTATTTTGGCCTTTAGACTTCTGTTACTGGTAATTTGTTGGGATCACATCCATTTATTTATTTATTTAATTTATTTATTTATTTTTGAGGACGATTAGCCCTGAGCTAACATCTGCCTTCAGTCTTGTTTTTTTGCCGAGGGAGGCTGGCCCTGAGCTCACATCTGTGCTTCTGTTACTGGTAATTTGTTGGGATCACATCCATTTATTTATTTATTTATTTATTTATTTATTTTTGAGGACGATTAGCCCTGAGCTAACATCTGCCTTCAGTCTTCTTTTTTTGCTGAGGGAGGCTGGCCCTGAGCTCACATCTGTGCCCATCTTCCACTTTATATGTGGGACGCCTACTACAGCATGGCTTGCCAACCGGTGCCATCTCTGCACCTGGGATCCAAACCAGTGACCTCTGGGGCCCCTGAAGGGGAACGTTGGAACTTAACCGCTGCGCCACCAGGCCATCCCCCAAGGGATCACATCTGTTTAAAAGTTCTTAAGAAGCACTAGCGTCATCTTTCCCACACTTTATTTAAACATTGCTTTTCTTGTTTCTGTTATGAGGAAGGACTTTTTGTGATCACCTCTATTGTAACTAGTATGCGTCACAAATAAAAGCATTTAGGTGCTCTCTTCAATAATTGTAAGTTTAGGATATTAAATTGGCCCTCTCTTCTCAGTTTTCTCGGTAGATTTGATTCCACAAGCATGACTTTCCCCACACTTCTCCAGTCTATCTACATTTCATGCTCCACGGATTTGATTATAATATGTTCCAATGGATGATTATGGTTTAAGAAGGACATATTTTTACCCAAGTATAAAAGAAATACATATTCTTTATAGAAGATTTATGTAGAGTTTTATGTCTATGATGGTTATTTTTGCTTTAAAATCTTTGACAGTTTATTTACATGTAATTCACATATCATACAATTCAATTCAGTAGCTTTTAGTATTTCACAGAGTTGTTCAACCATCGTCACAGTCAATTTTAGAATGTTTTCATCACCCCGAAAAAGAAATCCTATACCCGTTAACAGTCACTCCCCATTTTCCCCCAGCCTCCCAAACTCTAGGCAGCTACTATTTTCTGTCTCCATAGATTTGCCTGTTCTGGAAATTTCATATAAATGGAATTATACAGTGTTTGGTCTTTTGTGACTGGCTTCTTTCACTCAGCATGATGTTTTCAAGGTTCTTCCGTGTGGTAGTGTGTATCAATGCTTCATTCCTTTTTATTGCCAAATGATATTCCATTGTGTGGATATATACCATATTTTATTTCTCCATTCATCAGTTGTTGGGCATTTGGGCTATTTCTACCTTCTGGATATTACGAATCATACTGCTATGCACGTTTTGTGTACAATTTTTTGTGAGGACATGTGTTTTCATTCTCTTAGGCACTTATGATGTAAACCCAGGAGTGCAATTTCTGGGTCATATGGTAATTCTGTGGTTAACGTTTTGAGAAATCACTAAACTGTTTTCCAAAGTGGCTGCATCATTTTACATTCCCACCACAGTATGTGAGGATTCTAGTGGATTTCTCTACATCTTTGTCAACACTTGTTATTGTCTGTCTCTTTTTTTTAATTGAGGCCATAGTAGTTTATAACATTGTGAGGTTTCAGTTGTACATTATTATTTGTCAGTCACCATATCTGTGACCCTTTACCCCTAAGCCCACCCCCCAACTCCCTTCCCTACTGGTAACCACTAATCTCTTGTCTTTGTCCCTGTGTTTGTTTATCTTCCACACACGAGTGACGTCATGTGGTGCTTGTCTTTTTGATTATAGCCATTCTTGGGTGTGAAGTGGCATCTCTTTGTAGTTTTGGTTTGTATTTCCCTCGCGACTCTTTGTGTTGAACGTCGTTTCATGAGCGTATTGCGTATTTGTATATCTTCTTGGGAAGGATCAATTCAGATCTTTTGCCTATTTTTCTTTTTATTTCTTTTATTTAGTCTTTTGCTTTTTGGTGAGGAAGATTGGCCCTGAGCTGACATCTTTTGCCAGTCTTCCTCCTTTTTTTTTTCCCTCCCCGAAGCCCCAGTACCTAGTTGCATATCCTAGTTTTAGGTCATTCTTGTTCTTCTATGTGGGACGCCGCTACAGCGTGGCTTGATGAATGGTGCTAGGTCCGCACCCAGGATCCAGCGAACCCCAGGCCACTGAAGCGGAGCGTGCAAACCTAACTACTCGGCCACAGGGCTGGTCCTTTTCCTATTTTTAAATTTGATTTTTTTGTCTTTTATTATTGAGTTCTATATTATTTTAATTTGTGACTGCTTTCACTTCATCTCTAGAACTCTTAATATGGTTTGTTTAAAATTTTTCTTAATGTAGTCCCCAAAACTCCCTTTCAGCACTAGCAATTGTTGTTGTTAACTTACGTGTTGGTTATCTTTGTTCAAAAGCAAAATCAAATGTGGTTAAAGGATACAGTTTTAATCAGGTATGGAATAATAATTAGTGTAATAAAAGGCCCACCCCCAGGGATTCTTTCCTTTTTGTGTTTATTCTACTTGCTCTCTATCGTAAGGCTGAAGTTTAGCATTCAAAAAAGGAAAGCTCCTGGAAGCATTGTCATAACATGTTTACTTTAGTGAAGTGAGTTGACAGTTTCTTTACTTCCCTTGTGGAGGACTTCTAATAAAATAGTACTTAGTACTGTGTTGTGTACATTGGTGTGACAGCCACGGGTGTCTAAAATAAGGACACATGAACATGCACCCAAATTAGAAATCTCAATTTTTCATATTGAAGAAACAGTTACAGTTAGGGTATGTTAATGAGAACTGATATGAAAATCTGTAGATTTGTTCTTTTGAGAAAGAGATGAGCCATTATTCTGAAAGGCAGCTCCTTTTGCCTTCACTACTTTTTTTTTTGTCTGTACCGTTGCCAGTCACTAATTCTTATCTCTGGTATAGAATTCTCATGCAAAGGTACTTTGTATATTAAGTGTTTGAATTTAATGAAGTTAAAATGCATGTAATAGATCCCAAATCTCTTGGGTGGTCTTGAAGTTGGAGCATATGCCTGCCTTTCTTGAACCAGGCTTTTATGTCTCGTTAATAATTTATAATTCTATATGATAAATGCTATTTAGAATGAAATGATTGTTTTACTAATAATATAGTTTATATAAGGTGGCTCATTTTTTTTTTCTTAACCAGAAGTTGTTAATAGTTTTTGAATTTTTAAAGAAATCTGTGAACAGATTTGACCTGTCGGTGTTGTTGGAGCCACAAGACAACATAATTTCTTTTAGAAAGCATTATTTTATATTCTCCCTGGATTAAAATTCTGCAAAAGTGATCTTTGAGGAGAAATGGGAACATAAAATATAAGAAAAACAAAAACTGCTTTTAAAATAAAACCTTCAAATGTGTTGTAAATTAAAATTGCCTGAAGCATAACTTTCTAGGATCCTGGAGGCATTGAATCTTAATGCTTAATTTTTCAGCCAAAACAGTAAATTGCTTAGGATAATTTGATTACGTTCATTCATATTTTGAAATAGAGTTGCTGACAATGGGTGAAAATGAACATTTACCCTTGGCCAAAAAAGTAGTTTTTAGCTCAAAGAATTAAATTCTAGTTTATTTGTTGGTTGATGACTCGCTGCCTTTTACTAATGACTACTTTTTTCCTTACCTATCCTTTTTATAGTTAACTGAACTCTGTGTGTGTGTGTATGTATGTGTAATTTTGATTTAGAGACACTTCTCTGAAGGGAGAGAATCCTTAAACCTGTGGGATTGTCTGCCAAGAAGTTGTTTTAAGAGTAATCTAGTCTCTTTCCTTTTCACGTGAAGCAAACAAAGAAAGTTAGTAACATTTGGAAAAGATGGTTTCACTTTAGGGGTGAAGACTTTTTTACTGTTTTTGATTGTAAGCTTCCATCTAGTCCCTTAAGTTATGAATAAGGTTTTTACATTTTTAGCAAAAGTTTTCTGAAAATGTGAAATTGACTAGAAAGTTAATATATACTACCTCATGAATATTTAAAATCTCTATATGTTACTTTTAGAAGGAAGGAAGTAGGCTGAAGGTTGTACATCTAATAGTTAAAATGAAGGCCTTGTGCTGTTGTCTTATGGTGTTAGACATCACTTGAAGATGAACTCTTTTTTTTCGGTGAGGAAGATTGTCCCTGAGCTAACATCTGTGCCAATCTTCCTGTATTTTGTATGTGGGATACCACCACAACATGGCTTGATGAGTGGTGTGTAGGTCCATACCCAGGATCCAAACTCACGAATCCAGGCTGCTGGAGCAGAGCACGTGAACTTAACCACTACACCACTGGGCTGGCCCCCATAAACTCTTTTTTAACGAGGATATAATTTGAAACTTAGATTGCAATCCATAGGGAAATGTTGGACCTATGAGTTAGCAGGTCAGTTAACTGCATTTTTGTAGCGTGAGTCATTTCATGTTTTCTGATTTGAAATTTTTACTTGATTTAAAGCCAAAATGAGTTATAATTATACAAAGCAGTATGGAGGACAAATAAAACATATAGGCAGAATTAGCAGGGGAGGCAAGGATAAATGACAGAATACAAGGAAAAGAGTTAAGACTTAAACGAAAAGGGGAAAAAAGGAGGCAGTTTGAAGGATGCCTTATCTAGGCCTTGTTTGGTTTGATTTTTAGAGACTACAGGCCTGCATCTACTTTATCTCTGCTTTCATTAATGCCATATGGAGCATCTTTCTGCAGTATCAATGTTATGTGACAGTAAGTAGTATAAAAATGTTTATAGTTATCCAGGTAACAGATTTTACTAAATGCCCGCTGGGGTCAGGTTCTGTTTTAGACCTGGGGAATATGGGAACGGGAGATGGGGATGAGGAACAGGCTAAGAAGGCATCTTGGAGAAAGCAAAACAGAACCAGATCTGAGGAACGAGCAGAAAATAGTCTTGTAAAGCAGAGAGGGAGGAGCTATACAGGTCAGGAGGAGGAGGCTGGAGAGTGGTGCAAGGCAAAGGACCTTGTAGACTATGTCCGGGGACTTGACTTGGTCCTGAATACAAGGGGAACCTGAATGGCAGGGTCACACTGGCATTTTGCAAGAATCGCTCTGTTAGTGAGGTTGGAAAATGGACTGGAGAGGGACGAGATTAGTGGCGATCACCGGTTAGGACATTGTTGCACTAATCTTGGTTGAAAGCTGAGAGTGGGGACTTTGGGCTAGCATAGTGGAGGTAGTGCCGGTGGAGATGGAAAGAAATGGATGGATTCAACAGATATTTAGGAAGCCTAATAGACAAGACATGTTGATTAATTGGATGTTGGGGTGAGGAGGAAGGAAGGTTTTCAGGTTTTTCCAGTTTGGATACTTGGGTGCATGCTGGTATCTAAAATAGGGAAATAGGGGACATAGGGTTTTGTGGGGAGAGGAGCATGAGATCAGTTTTGGACATATTGAGTTGGTGTCTGAAAGGAGAAACTGATTTCTTTTGTTCTCTACACTCTCACCGATATTTCTGGCCTCTGTATATGGGAGGGGGTGTTCCCCACGCCAGGCAATTCTCTAATTCTTTGCAGGCACCAACTGGGTGTCCTACAGTTCAATCGATTCTGATACTGCACACCTGGAGTTAGCATCAGATCCCACAGATTAAGGGCTCAGTCCCACAAGACTGCCTCTCTGCCCCTCGGACTCCAGATGTCACTTACAAGCAGTGAGTCCTCAGGTTACCCACAACTTGTGTCTCACTTAGCTACAAATTGGGGATTCCATGACCCCCTCTTCTGGCTTGATAATTTGCGAGAATGGCTCACAGAACTAAGGGAAACAGTTTGTTTACTAGATTACGGGTTTATCATCAAGTGATACAGCTTAGGAACAGCCGGATGGAAGAGATGCGTAGAGCAAGGTGTGTGGGAGGGGATGCTGAGCTTCCACGCCCTCTCTGGGCGCTTCCGCACCTCTGCGTGCTCACATCCAGAAGCTCTCCGAACCCTGATATATAGGGATTTTTATGGAGGCTTCCTTACACAAGCATGATTGATTAAATCATTGGACATTAGTGGTTACTCAACCTCCAGCCCCTCTCTCCTACTCCAGGATTGGAGGTGGAGGCTCTAAGTTCCAGCCTCTAATCAGGAGGTTGATTCCCCTGGCAGCCAGCTCCCCCTCCTTAGGGGCTTTCCAAAAGTCGCCTCATTAACTTCAACTCAGGTGTGGTTGAAAGGGGCTTGTTATGAGTAACTAAAAACACTCCTTTTACCTTTATCTCCCTTATCACTTTGGAAATTTCCAAAGTTTTAGGAGCTCTGTGCGAGGAATGGAAAGAAGACCAAAAATATACTACTTATTATAAATCACAATATCACAGTATCTATTAGCTGTCCAAGTATAATTATCACAGGTAGTTGGACATAAAAGTTTGGGGACAGAGAAAAGTGGCTTTTTCTTTGTCGTTTTTAGCAGAGAAGGCAAAGGGGAAAGAGCTTTTATAGGGAAGTTGATCAGGGAAAGAAGGCGTGATTGACGGAACAAAGTCTCTTGTGGACTGACATTCGTCAGAGACTGGTGTATCATCTCATCTGCTTATCAGTGAGAAATACAACTAGTGTATTGGCTGTTCATGCTCTTCCTATCTGCACGCTGACAAGAGAATCCAAATCACAATCAGAATATCGTGTGAGCAAAGCGTTAGAAAGGACGTCAGATGGGCTCAGTGGCTGGTGTCTTACGTGGTCATCTGTTGTGGTCTTTTTCATGTGCTGCCTACGGAAGTTTGCTTCAAGAATCATTTTGAGGAGAGAGGCTCATTTCACTTTAATTTTGCTTTCACTTTAAAGTAGAATTCTGAAATATTTGGCATTTCAGTAAAGTTCTAAATGACTTTTACCCTTTTTCGCAGAGAAGACGTACGGTGATGAATGTCATCAACAAAATATAAGACTCTTTTATCATTATTTTTGTACCTAAAAGAAAATAGAGTAGGTTTATTCAAGTTAGTGATTTATTGACATTGTTTAAAACTATTTTCTCTTTTTTCTTTTTTTAAAGAAATGGCTGCAAGCAACTGACCTCACTAGAGAAGTGTACCAGCACTTAGCCCACTATGTACCCAAAATCTACTGCAGGAGTCCCAACCCTTGTCCACAGAAGGAAGACATGGTGGCACAGCATGTTTTGTTGGCGCCGATGGAATGGTACCTTTGTGGTGAAGATTCTGAGTTTGGGTTTCCAAAACTTCAACAAGCAAACAAACCTTCTCATCTTTGTGGTCGTGTTTTTAAAGTAGGAGAGCCTACATACTCTTGCAGGTAAAATATTGTAATTTTCTTTCTAAAAGGCTCTTCTTTTTACTTGACATTTTTTTCTTGAAATGTTAGATTTTTGTTTTAAATTATGAAATATATATATTAAAAAGGCTATACAACAAATATATATGGTTTAAAATAATTATAAAACAAACATTCATGTTATTATTTTCCAGGTCAAGAAATAGGACATCATCAGCATTCCAGAAACTGACTGTGTGCTTTCTTTTTCCCCCATAATTAACTGCTACCTTGACTCTTACATTAATCACTTCCTTGCTTTTCTTGATAGTTTTTTAGTTACAGCGATTCTTTTTAATCTTCAGATTATCCCACATTTGACCGCTGAGAGCCCCATCATGCTAGCTTCGTTGTCTTTTTCCCATGACTTCAGTAGTTTTTGAGTGTTTCTTTGCTTTCTGGCACAAGATGTCCACAGCTCACTTTGTACTTAACTCTGACCCATGTGTAGAATCAGCTATTTCTGTACTGAGTTTGTTTTTAGTTGGCAGTAGTAGTTAGAAATCATGGCCTGGGAGCTGTATATACTATTGCTACCAGCATAGCTTTACTTTTTTTTTAAAAAAAAATCTTGTTGAAAATTGAATATACGAGAATGGAAGATAGTGAGGAAAATGCTTGTCTCCTTGTGACTATCTATTCGTGTTTCTCAGAACTAATCATTATTAACATTTTCTTCTGTATCCTTCCAGAAATTTTTTGTCCATGTGCAGGCCCATATATATGGCTATCTTAAACATACATACAAAAGGGAATACGTTATATATACTGCGCTAAGTTTTCCTTTCTCTGTTTAACAAAGTCTTGACATCTGTCCATATCGGCTGATATAGCTAGATAATATTTCAGTGTGTGGATGTACTCTTGTTAGAGGCGTTGTGGAACATTTTTTTCCTTAAGGCTTTTTCCCGTAAGACTGAAATTTAATATACTCTTAATTTGGTTAAGGCCTCTGGGTGTCCGTGGTAGTCTTTCTTTGTCAGCATGGTTAGAATACCGAGAGAGATCTTTTTATCAAAGACTATTAGATGTAGTTTTTTGTTTGTCTTTACAAAAGCTTCTTTGAGTCCTTTATTGATGTTTGGAGCAATAGATCCAGTTTAACCTCAAGACCTACAGATGAGGAAACCGAGACCCACTTGTTCCAGTAATGCTCTTTGTCAAAAGGATCCTGTTCCAAAGCACGCTTTTGTATGTCGTGTTTTTAATCGTCCATCTGGAATGTTTCCTCAGTTTTTCTTTGACTTTCAAGATCTTCCCACTTGAAGATTACAGGCCAATTATTTGGGTTTGGGCTATCAATTTGGGTTTGTCTGATACACTTCACGATTAGAGTCAGATTGCATCTGTCACAGAAATATCCACAAAAATCACATATTCTCATTGTTCCCTATCAAGTAGCATATGATTTTGATTTGTTCAATAACTAGTGATGTTAACTTTGATCCCTTGTTTAAGGGGATGTCTGCAAGACTTCTCCACTGTAAAGTTGTTTCTTTTCACCTCTGTAATCAGAATTTTGTTGGGAGGTACTTTGAGACCGGCAAATATCTTGTTTCTCGATGTTCACTTTGTTCATATCAGTGTGTATTCGTGGAGTCCCATTGTTTGTGTGCTCAGATTGTTCTAGATTTGACCAGTGGTGGCCTTTCAAGTTGTCTTCTTTGTTCTTTTTCATGTCCCCGTCAGTCTTTCAGTGCTTCCTTTTTCATTCGGGCACAAGATGTTTTGGGCACATCTTGGACTTTTCGCTGCCTGGCCCTGAAATCAACCATTTACCCAAGGAGCCTGGTTTCCATTTTTTTTTGAGGAAGATTAGCCCTGTGCTAACCACTGCCAATCCTCCTCTTTTTGCTGAGGAAGACTGGTCCTGAGCTAACATCCATGCCCATCTTCCTCTACTTTATACGTGGGACACCCACCACAGCATGGCTTTTTTTTTTTTTTTTTTAATACTTAAAAATGGTTAAGATGGTGAGTTTTATGTTCTGTGTATTTCACCATAATAAAATAATGAAAAAAAGTACACACTGAAACTTATACACCAATGTTCATAGCAACATTATTTATAATAACCAAAAAGTGAAAATAACCTAAGTATTCATCAATACCACAGCATGGCTTTTGCCAAGCGGTGCCATGTCTGCACCTGGGATCCGAACCGGTGAACCCCAGGCCGCCGAGAAGCAGAACGTGCAAACTTAACCGCTGTGCCACCGGGCCGGACCCCAAAATGTTGTTGTTTTGTTTTGTTTTTTTGGGCTTTTTTTTGCTGAGGAAGACTGGCCCTGAGCTAACATCCATGCCCATCTTCCTCTACTTTGTATGTGGGACGCCTACAACAGCATGGCTTGACAAGCAGTGCATAGGTCCACACCCAGGATCTTAACCAGCAAACCCTGGGCCGCTGAAGCAGAATGTGTGAACTTAACTGCTGTGCCACTGGGCTGGCCCCCACTTTTTAGTAAAGATTAGTATTTAGAATTAAGGTAGTAGGTGTGCTTGTTGCTATTAGTACTTACATATGTCACTAATCCCAGGCCCTCTCAGTGGATCTGTATTCTATATCTATCTTTCGATACCTCTTGAAAGAGATATTAAAAACTCTGCATTTACAGTGATCTCTCCAGTTCCAATCCAACATTACAGGATTCTTTCTCATTTTTTCCCTTCGTATATTTGTAACTGCTTTCTCTGATGAACCTGATTCTCATCTGAAAAATATTTACCTATTTGATCATTCCCTTGTGTGCAACCATTCTTTTGCTGCTGCTGCCACTAACACCCAGCTCTGCATAGTTGCCCTCCTTACCCTATTTGAGTTCCACTCCCCGTGCTGGGCCACGGTGACCTTCCCTTCAGCCCTTGTTGGGGCAGATCTAAAAGTCTTGCTTTTAGATTCATGGTCTTTAATCCAAGTCCTGGCCTTTCTGATCTCAGTTGCATATCTGCCTTACTGGAACTCCATAGTCCTCTATCACTGCTTGCTAGACTTAAGGTATCTCTGTGGCACTCTCAGTTTTGTAGCAGCCACCCTCCAGTAAACTTGGAGAGTGTTGCCCTGTGCTTGTGCAGCCCAACCCTCAGCCAAGAACTCATTCACTGGCAACCCCCTCATAGACTTCTGTCCCTTCCCAACCCCTCCCATCCTGCATAATTCCACCTCTTTGGTTCCCTGACCTGTGGCCTCTACCTATTTTACCCGCCCCAAACTCTGGTCTATTATCAGCTCAGCAGGACCTTCCTGTTCTGCTTAGACTCTACCTTGCAGTGCATAGGTGGGTATTTACCCCCTCCGTGAGAGGCAGGGCCATCATGGGGCTCACCTCGTGAATTTCCCTACTCTTAGTTATTGCAATCTAGTGCCCTGTTCATTGCCTGGAAATCGTTGCCTCATGTATTCATCTAGTTTTATGGTTGTGTAAAGTGGGAGGGCTAGTTCAGTACCACTTATTCTGTCATAACCAGAGTGGAAGTCCCAAAATTTTTTTATTTTTGTTTTTATTTTTTTAAAGATTGGCACCTGAGCTAACATCTGTTGCCAGTTGTCTTTTTTTTCCCTTCTTCTCCCCAAAGCCCCAGTACATAGTTGTATATTCTAGTTGTGAGTGCCTCTGGGTTGTGCTGTGTGGGGCGCCACCTCAGCATGGCCTGATGAGTGGTGCCATGTCTGTGCCCATGATCCAAACCTGTGAAACCCTGGGCCGCTGAAGTGGAGTGTGCGAACTTAACCACTCGACCATGGGGCTGGCCCCCCAAAATTTATTTTAACAGTGAAAATAGCTTATGGTTGTTGAGCACCTTCTAGGTGCCTGATTTAATGCTAAGCTCTTGATATATATCATGTTTAATCCTTCTGTAAACCCCCGAGTTAATATCTCAGGAAGCTGAAGCTCAGAGTGATTAAGTGACTTACCTGCAGTCATAAAAATTGAAACCAGGGCGCTCTGACTCTGAAGTCCATGTTTTTTCATTTTACCTTTCTTTGATTCTCAAGTATTGGTCTCTTATGAATTTTTCACTCATAGTCAGTAAAATGAGGGAAAAAATAGGTAGAACATACTGACTTTTTTTTGCAACTAAATTTGTTCCTAAATTCTGAGAGCTCTACTTTGTTGTTAAAATATTACTATATGAAACAAAGACAATGAATTAAGTAGTTTTGTTTTGTTTTTTAATGTTCTTAGAAAAAAATAATTAGTAGCCCCTTTTTTGGTTATTCTACTGGTCCCCGAGACTCAGAAATTTGGGAACTACCACACACAGCACTCTGATTCCTAAGCAGAGACTCAGGTTGCGTTACAGTCCTGTCTTCTGCATCATGAAGTACATGCAAAGAATATTAACTGAAAATCATATTTGTGCTGGAGAAAGAGGTTTTGGTGACTCAGGATTGTGGACTTGGCCTGAACCTTTTCTCCCTCGTTGTCCCCGGTTAGACGGGTCTCGAAGCTCTTTCCCAGTTGCAGATGTTTGGCACGTATCACAGTGCCTCCTACGTGTTAGGTGTTCAGCAACTGTTTGTTGAGCAAATGTTTGTTCAGAGTGAAGAGGACAGTTTTAAAGATGTTATTTTGCTCTTCCTTCTTTAAATTGCTTGAGTATTCCTATTCGTTGCGTATTTCCATACTTGTCCAGTGGCAATATCATATTTATTGTAAATCAGCTACTTTCTAGGATGTTACTCATGATTATGTACTGGGAATCCTTCCTGTTCTGAATTTTACAACTTCAGATATTCTCTTATACCCGGCCAGCTAATTAATAGGGCAGCTGGTGCTACAGGTACACAGTACATTAATCTCTCTTACAAACTTATCGCCATCTCGTTTTATCTTTGAACCATAGGTACAGTATTCAGGAATTTTGTTAGTCCCAGGAATCCTATACGTATCTGTGTGTGGGTCCATCCCAGAAGAGCAGAGGTTGGGTGCAGGTTTGAATGCTTTATAGGGAGGCATTGATTAGATTGACCATCTTGG